GGAATTTTCAGATATATTTTACTTTTTAGTTTTTTCCCATACTATTAACAATGCATTCCTTATATCAGTGGTGGCGAACCTATGGCACGGGTGCCAGAGGCGGCACTCGGAGCCCTCTCTGTGGGCACATGTGCCGTTGCCCCAGCCTTGCCTCCCCCCACGACCCCCTCCTCTCCAGCAGCACCCCTGGATGAGAGTCGCCCCCGAGCGTGGCCCATGCGGAGCAGCGCAGCCAAGGACATGGCAGCCAGGCAGCGTAGATAAGACTCTGCCCTCAAACCCCATCGCGCACAGTTGATGCTGCGGGGTGCGGGCAGAGGGCGTGGCCGCCATGGCGTTGCTGGGCTGCCTGGGCGATCTACGGCGGGCTGTGGAGGCGGTGAGTGGCCTTGAGGGCAGGTGGGCTGGGGGCGGGGCAGGGGGCAGGGCACAGGGTGGAGTGGGGGCGGGGCCAGTTTTTGGACACTCGGTCTCTAAAAGGTTCGCCATCACTGCCTTATATAGTGATTTTGGAAATACTTATGAACTCTGTTTTTCCCATACCGTAAGAAAGCGTGCCACCCCAACTGTAACTCATGTCCCTCCAAATACAACAACCTTTTGTTTCTAAGAGTTATCCATTCTTTCACCCAGGTTAAAACAGATGCTTAATAATACAGAGCCCACTCCGGTAGCCCGGAAGCTCCTTTTCCTTAGCATCTTGTAACGTTTTCATCTTAATTCTACCTTTCTTTCTCTTTTTTGCGACCTTCTGACAAGCGACGTCAACGGGGAAACCAGATTTGCTGAACAACAGTGTTGCTAACTTAACACCTGCAGCGATTCTCTTAACAAACGCGGCAAGGTCGCAAAATGGGGCAAAACTTGCTTAACAAGTTTCCCCCTGAACAACGTAAATTTGAGGCTCCGTCGGGGTCGTAAGCCGAGGACTGCTTCTGCCTCATCTTAGAGGACCGAGCCCTTTTCGATCCTTGTCGCTGCTGTTTCCACACACTTCTGCCTTTGGGGAATGTTGAGACCCTCAGAGCAGGATAAATTCGGATTTGATAAGGCAGCCTGGCTAGCAATGTACACCTTGATGCTTATCGAGATGATGGTGGAGAGTACAAAGGTTCTTTCTTGTCAAATGCCAACAGCGTGGAGTAAACGCTAGGTGCTTGCCAGCTGCAGGCAAACAAACAGACACGGTAGCACAAGGGCAGCAGCTCTCCGCGTCTGGATCCCTCTCCCGGCAGCCCTGACGCGGCTCCACCCAAGCAGGACATCCTGGCTGAGGCAGCCGCTCGGCAGATGCCGCTCACCACCATCCGTCTTCCCCTCGCCGGCTTTACCACGAGTCAAAGGGAAAAAGACAGGGGCACACAGGCTACCTGGAGGTCAGGTCTTGAGAGGGGCGGGTGAAAGAGGACAGGCAGTCCTCGGCTTACGACCACAGGGGAGCCCAGAGTTTCTGTTGTTAAGTGAGACATCTGTTCGGGGCATTTTGCTCCGTTTTACCATCTTTCTTGCCCCTGTGGTTAAGGGAATCGCTGCAGTTGTTAAGTTAGTGCCGCGGTTGTTAAACAAATCTGGTTTGCCCCATTGACTTTGCTTGTCAGGTGGCAAAAGGGGGGTCACATGACCGCAGGAGGGGGAGAGGGAGAGGGAAGGGAGAGGAGAGGGAAGGAAGGGGAGAGAGGGGAGAGAGGGAGAAGAGACGGAAGGGAGAGGAGGGAAGAGGGAGAGGAGAGGGGAGAGGTGAGGAGAGGGAAGGAAGAGGAGAGGGGAGAGAAGAGAGAGGTGAGGGAGAGGANGGCCGGGATTCATTGCAACGCAAATCTAGGAACGGCCACACCCTGATAAGGAACATACCATAATAACCTTGTGTAAATGTTAAAATCAACATATCTTTTTTCTGGCCTTTTAAAAAAAATAATAAAAAAATCCACCTAGAGGATCCTGTTTTGTATTTCAATACGGCATATTTTGCCACACACACGTTATTGTGTTATCCGTTTGTTGCTAAAAGGGAAAGCGCACTATGAACCAGGAACAAAAAATGAAACCGAAAAAGTAGAAATGTTTTGCAGCTCTGCACTCACCCGATCCACTTTGTCTCTTGTGATCGAGGGCTCAAATGGAGTCATCTCAAAAAATCTCGCAATGAAACTGCAATTTGAGGAAGAGCAAAAAGAAACAAAACCAAACTAAAATGAATTCAGCTGTTTTAATATCTAAACCAGAATCTGCTTTGGTCTGCATTTAATATTTTCGATATATCAGATTTACCTACTGACGGAACACGACACAGTTCTTTGTGTTTCAACCTAGATATTCTATTGAGTGGGAACTACTGATTGTAACTGGAGTTTTTAATTCTCCAAAATGCCTTCACAAACCTGACTTGGGATTGATGTCTCTGGAGATTCTCACTCATCCAGGTCATGGTTGTCCCAAAGGTGCATTTTTTTCCCCAAAAGGCAATTGGACTTTTTTTTTTTTCCCCTTGAAAACTAAAGAAGCTTCTGGGAAGAGAAGCGAAACTTTTTCAAGGAAAAAAACAAAGAAAGTCCAGTTGCCTTTTGGAAAAAGCAACTTTGGGACGACTTATGCTTCTCACATTAAGCTGGGGTTTTAAACTGGGTTGTTGTTTTTTTCCCTGGCCCATCCTAAAGATGTACTCCTTTTTGCTCAGTTTATACAAACGTCAGCCAGAAAAACGGAGAGGGAAACCAATAAAAGCAAAGCGGGAGCGAAGACAGCCTCTGTTGGAATTGGAAACTGGGATCTGGAGATGTGCAGAAAAGCACTTGGCCCTTGTTGCAGATGAACACCCTCTTCTGTCCGAGAAGCAACGCAATTCTTACTCTAAATCTTCACAAACCATCTGAATCATCTCTTCCAGTTTCTTGCCTGCTATCCTGTCTATCTATCTATCTATCTCTCTTATCTCTCTATCATCTATCTTCTTTATCGATCTATCTTTATCTTCTCTATCTTCTCATCTATCTTCTCATCTATCTTCCTATCTATCTTCCTTCCTATCTTCCTATCTATCTATCTATCTATCTATCTATCTATCTATCTATCTATCTATCTATCTATCTATCTATCTATCTATCTTCTTTATCTCTCTTATCTCTCTATCATCTATCTTCTTTATCGATCTATCTATCTTCTTTATCTCTCTTATCTCTCTCTATCATCTATCTTCTTTATCGATCTATCTTTATCTTCTCTATCTTCTCATCTATCTTCCTATCTATCTTCCTATCTATCTTCCTATCTATCTTCCTATCTATCTTCCTATCTATCTTCCTATCTATCTATCTATCTATCTATCTATCTATCTATCTATCTATCTATCTATCTATCTATCTATCTATCTATCTTCTTTATCTCTCTTATCTCTCTCTCTATCATCTATCTTCTTTATCGATCTATCTTTATCTTCTCTATCTTCTCATCTATCTATCTATCTATCTATCTATCTATCTATCTATCTATCTATCTATCTATCTTCTTTATCTCTCTTATCTCTCTCTATCATCTATCTTCTTTATCGATCTATCTTTATCTTCTCTATCTTCTCATCTATCTTCTCATCTATCTTCCTATCTATCTTCCTATCTTCCTATCTTCCTATCTTCCTATCTATCTTCCTATCTATCTATCTATCTATCTATCTATCTATCTATCTATCTATCTATCTATCTATCTATCTATCTATCTATCTATCTTCTTTATCTCTCTTATCTCTCTCTATCATCTATCTTCTTTATCGATCTATCTTTATCTTCTCTATCTTCTCATCTATCTTCTCATCTATCTTCCTATCTATCTATCTATCTATCTATCTATCTATCTATCTATCTATCTATCTATCTATCTATCTATCTATCTATCTTCTTTATCTCTCTTATCTCTCTCTATCATCTATCTTCTTTATCGATCTATCTTTATCTTCTCTATCTTCTCATCTATCTTCTCATCTATCTTCCTATCTATCGTCCTATCTTCCTATCTTCCTATCTTCCTATCTATCTTCCTATCTATCTATCTATCTATCTATCTATCTATCTATCTATCTATCTATCTATCTATCTATCTATCTATTCTATCTATCTATCTTCTTTATCTCTCTTATCTCTCTATCATCTATCTTCTTTATCGATCTATCTTTATCTTCTCTATCTTCTCATCTATCTTCCTATCTATCTTCCTATCTATCTTCCTTCCTATCTTCCTATCTTCCTATCTTCCTATCTTCCTATCTATCTATCTATCTATCTATCTATCTATCTATCTATCTATCTATCTATCTATCTATCTATCTATCTATCTATCTTCTTTATCTCTCTTATCTCTCTATCATCTATCTTCTTTATCGATCTATCTTAATCTTCTCTATCTTCTCATCTATCTATCTATCTATCTATCTATCTATCTATCTATCTATCTATCTATCTTTTTATCTATCTTTC